TAACTTAATAAAAAAAAAAAAAAAAAGCAAGAAGAAGAAATAAAAAATATCTATTCAAGAAACGAGAAGAAAATTAACAGAAGAATTAAAACCGCGAAAGAATTTAATTTAATTGACTCGCAATCTCTCAGATCTCGTTTTCCTTAACCAATTCTCATTTACTACTACGCGTCTACTACCTCTTACCTCTCGCGTCATCCTCGAAATCCGGCAAGTGGTTGGACTGTTGAAAGAACGAGGAGGGTGCACTGCCGCCCACCGGGGGTGGAAAGTCATTGTCGCGGAAGATCAAGCGTGGCGTGCGATGGCCCATCACAGGCCTGTTGTACTCCGAGATGGGACTCCTCCAGGCCGATTTGTGCTGCCTCCACGATGGGAAACGTACCCCAGGGTGTAAACCTATGTTCCTCCCTATCGGGGGACCGCCACCCTCGAACAGATAACCGGCGGGACCGGTTGGAAATCGGACGTATCGGCGTCTACGGGGCGAATTCAGGGTTAACTCGGTGCGATTCCCATCGTTGCTACGTGCCTCCATGTAACCGGGATTGAAGATCGTCTTCGATTTGCTCGATCCCGATATCGATCCGGCACGACCGGTGGCACGATTCGACGAGATGACGAGGAGTATTCCTATTAATATCCATTGGCACGATCTGGCTGCATCCATCATTCGGCTGGAAATGCAAATTCCACGGGGGATAAGGAGATTTTTAAAACAGATTTCGAAGATCGATGGAAAATAATTGTAAAATTTCCATAGTCTTGAGGGGAAGAAGAGGGGAAGAATTGTCCACGTTGTTTCGATCGGTTTAAATTATATTATATCTCTTACTTCGGTCGGTTAACACCGTCACCTCTTTTGGAAATTCATTTTTTTCGTCACTGTTTGCCTCGTCCTCCCATTATCTCGCTCGCACGTTATACAACAAGCGTCCTTGTCGAATATCATTTGCGCTTAAAACGCGCAAAGCGTTTGAATTCAATTTATCCCCCGGATGGAACGGGTTCTCTTTCCAAACTTATCTCGCCACTTTATTTCGCCGATAGCCTCTTTCAATTAACTTGTGCAAATTGTTAAACATTTGATACGGTATCTTTTATATAAGATACCGAGGTGTAAAATGGTCGAGATAAAACGTGACGAAAGAGCAAACAGTCCTCGACAAAGAGAGAGAGAAAGAGAGANAAAAATCAAAAGGTGTCGTCGCGATCGGTTCCATTTTTTTTTTTTTTTTCATAAGGAGAATAATTTTAACGATCGAATTCTTTTCCTTCTTCTTCTTTTTCTTTTCTTTATTCTTTGGAATCCGCGAATTTCTTCTGAAATTTTCTCTCCTTTCTATCTTGGAGGTTCGCGTGTCTCCCCGACCAATCTATTCGGTCTCGATTCGGCCGATCGCTGGAATCAATTTTCTAAAGAATAAACCGGCATGATCGAGGTTAACGAGCCACGGAAAACACGCACCTCCTCCTAACGGATCCTCTTCGACACGAATCCTTTTTTCCTTTTTCACGAAGCCAATTCCAGTTGCATTACACGCGATCATTCGTGCGTATTGAATAATATAACTCGTTCGATTGAAAAGGAACGTCGTTTATTCTCGAATATTCTTTTTTTTTTTTTTTTTAACTTGGTCGAAAGGAATCGGCTCGCGATTCGATCTGCTCGAGAAGAAAAGAAGAGATTCGAGGAGGATCGGGGAGCGGAATTGCTCGTCGGAGGATATGTTGTTTGCGTCACGTCGTCGCGGCCCGTGAACGGGTGAAAGTAAAAAGAGGGTCAGGCCGCTGAGGAAGGAAACGAAACGCGTCGATTAATAATCCAAGGAGACTCGTCCCAGTGGAGGGAACGACCAGCATCCTCCGGTTGGTCAGTTATCGAGAGTGGCGATCGAGGAGGAGCGAAAACGCGGGGGCGGGAATTTCATATTGGATTGGGCAACGGCCAACATTATTGCTTTAATCACCGGTCGAGCCGCGTTCAGGACAATTTAACCACGTAACGGTTCTTGTCACTCCGTTTCGTAATGGGCGATTTAAAAATCGAGAAGGCTGATAATCGGCTCCATTGTCATTGATGAATCAATGGAAGAGGAAGCAAAGGAAGGAAGGAAGGAAGAAAGGAAGGAATCGGGTGAAGACGAAGCAGGGGGAAGAAAAGATCGGCGAGTCGTCGTCATCCCCTTTGAATATAATTTGGAATATAAGATGGTTTCGCAATGATTAGACGAAAAATGGAAAGAAGAGAGTTTAGCGAAATTTAAAAAAGCGATTGCGATTCTTTTCTTTCTTTTTTTTTTTTTTTGTAGAAGGGATAATTGAACGTCGAATCGAACAATCGATGTAGAACGTCCTTGCCTTGGAATAACATGGTGGAGTGGCGGAGCGAACGGTTCGATGTGTTAGTAGGTCATTGGCTCTGCCGTGTAGCTCGAGTAGAAGTGAAAGTGCGCTTCTTGCACTCACGGCAGTGTGAAGTTCATGTTCACGCTGCCACCCGCTTCGCCGGAAGTTACGAGCCATCTTTTTCTTCTCCCATTCTTCCTTTCGGTAACAACGATCTCGATCTTGCGTCCATTAGAACGACGTTCTAATCGACCAAACGTGACACTTATAATAGAGATTAGAAGTAAGCTCGTAACTGCGAAGAGGCGACAATTTTTTTTCTTTCTTTTTTTAAAGTTTTGTTAACGAACGATTCGCGGGGAAACGAGTTGGCGAGACAGATAGAGAGAGAAAGAGAGAGAGAGAGAATGATAACAAGAAAAGTGAAACCCGGTAGAAAACGAAATAAACCAGTCTCTAACTGGATTTAAAGCTAGTTTGATCCGCTAATGTATTTTAATTGTTGTTTTTCTCCTTTCCTTTTCTACCGGGGCTTCGTTCTCCGTTAAGGAAGAGAAAATTGCCGACCTTGCCATCTTGGTGCGTCGAGACAGGACGAAAGCTGTTTTTTTTTCGTTCTCTCAAGCAGCAGCCTTGCCATTATTCATCTTTGTCCGTTTCAACGTTTTATACGTTTATCGATTTGTAAGCCTTGTTTCAACGAACTTTACTTGGAAATCGAGTAATTTAGGAGGAGGAAGGAAAAACGAAGGAAGGACGAAGGAAGCGAAGAGGATAGATTTACGGAGAGGAGCGCGAACTTTCACCTTGCCACGACTAGAAGGTTGGCGGTATCGCGCGCGCCGACGCTCGAAAGTACCTTGGAGAGTTTCTTCTCTCGCGTGCACGATGTTGTACGCACCGCACGCATAATTGTTGTAGTTTCGTTCCCCAGCTGTTCGAGAAAGCCTCCCTCCCCACGTCTCCTCTCTTTCCACTCTCGNGTTCTCTCGTTCTCCCTCGTCGTCGTCCGTTCGCGCGGCGAGGTGGTGGCCGGTGGCTGCCGATTGGCGCCACACACCGGTCCCCGCATCCCAAATTCCGTGTGAACCGACATTAAGAGCGCGATCCATTACTTTCTCTGCAACGCGCACAGGCGCCGTTTTACTTTCGCCGAAAGCAAACGGAGGGAAAAAAAAAAAAAAAAAAGAAAGAAAAAAAGCCAAAATAAGAGAAGCACGCGCGTGAAATTTTGTTTTCGTCCGATCCGTCCGGCCCCGTTTTCTTCCTCGCCTCCGTCCTTCCTTTCGGGAAAAACGATCATCGATGATCAATCTCGTTTCTCGTTGTTCATCTTGGCTCGATGAGCAGCCGATTTCCGCGAGGCGGCGACGACGACGNCGACGACGAAGAGTCGATTAATCGGAACTTAATCGGAAAGAAAGCGAACAAAAGGAAGGAGGAGAGGGGATCTCGAGTCTCTGGAAATGGTAACGTCGAGCTCGCGATACTTTTTTTTCCCCCTTGGTATTGATTTTTCGATCGAGAAACGGCGANGATCGGTCCTTTAACGCGTGCAGCGGCCACGTTGCGGCGACGTTCCGCGCCCCTTTCCTCGAAGGAAACCGGTTCGAAGAAATCCGAACTTGTGCTCTTTCTTCGTGGCCTTGAAAAGAAGTACGCTCGTTCGCGGTCTAGTTGGCGAGATACCCCTTTTCACGCGACCACCGACACTTTCCATTGTGTAACGAATCCTTCTCCTCTTCCCTCCGTCACGCCCGTCGTCTCGATTCAAAAATTTCTTGGAGAAGCTCGCTCCCCGCCGAACCCTCTTCGACCCTTTCCCCTCTCTCTCTGTCTTCCCCGCGACGAAACGAAACGGAACGATCGCGGAACGATCTGCATTGTTACTTTCTAGGAGAAATTAATTCCCTCGTAAACGGAGTAATCCCAGCCAAGGCCGAGAGTTGGAAACGAAGAAGAAAAAGTGTGTCGAACAAACGCGAATGTGTCGATCCAATATTCATATACCGATCTGTAATTTATCTCTCTCGTTATTCGATGGATAGAAAATCTTTAATCCAACTCTCGAAACGTATTTTAATCAAGGGAGAAAGAGGAGCGCGTACGATGTCGTTTCGTTTTTTTTTCGTACGGAGAGGGGAAAAAGAAAAGAGAAGAAAGGAAATATTAGATGGAAGGACACGTTTGGTGGGTTGTCGCGCGTTTCTCCTCAAACTTGTGTCGGTGTTACGTAAACGGGGAGTGGTGTTTAGGCAATCGGTAGAACGGTACCGAACCGTGCATCCTTAATGCTCGTCCCCTTTGCTCGTCTCCTTTTGGAAAAGAACGGAAGTACTTTCACTCGCTACGAGATCGGAAAGTTGAATATTTCGATACCCATTGCCAATTCGTCGGCGAGAAATTTTCTCTCTCGTAATCTCTCCGTTGAAATGGACAACATCTAACACCTAATATTATTCGTTTCTCTCGTTCGAATTAATTATTAATAATAATATTACGAATTTACTTCGATGCCACGAAATTTCTTCGTTCGTTTTTTTTTCTCTATGACGTTCAAAAGTAGAAACGAACGTACGATCGACTTACTTTCAATTATGGAAATTCGACGAATTTAACGCGTGGACACGCGTGATTAAGCGAATAATCGAATCCCGTTAAATTACATCGAAGTCCATTAATTTTCCACCCTTGGAAATTTAAATCTCGACGAAGGCCACGATTCGTTCATTCAGTATAATAGCCCGCCTTCGTTCGATCCGAAATCACCAGTTTCGTTTACGTTGGCGCACGTTTTACTCGGTGATACAGCTTTCTTTCAAAAGCTGATCCAGACCTTCTCACTTTCACTCAATTTTTCCGATGGCCATCGCGCGGCTATTGTATTACAATTTCCAACGCATC